AATCACAAACAATTATGCCTTCACGACACAAATAATCATTTGAGTCGTGTATTTTTGGCAATTTTACTAAAGGATGTTGAGAGGAGGGTGAAATGTGTCAACTTTCTATATTTTCTGTTTAAACATCTTCTATATTTTACATTTAAAAGTCAATTTATCATACTATCTACTTATCCACACACTCCATCACCCCTTTCCTANNNCTTCGCTTGCATGTTCACTCACGATCTCTCAAGCATCATTCAAAAGAACTCTATGATGATTTGTTGTAGTATGTAAAAGTCATATGTACAATATCATACAAATGAGCCCATATACGTATTTGTGTAAATGAGATAAAAGCTATAGTCGTGACCTCTTATATACTCTTCAACAGAGTGTATATCATATGTGACAGTAAAACCCAGTTAAATCATTCGTTTTAGGATTGATGTAACATGCACATTTGTAAATGTGTTCTTAATATTAAGATTCGACTCATGGAAATTTTAGCACGAAAGTGAGATCAAAATAGTTTTGGCAGTGGTTTTATGAAGATGACAATAAAACTAGTCGTTGTAGAGTGGATGTTGCAATCACATCGATTACAACAATTGATGGAGAGATACAGAGCCACAGTTGCATGTGATTATCTTTTTTCTAACACAAACCTACAAAAAAGATAATTTAGTCAAATCTATTGAAACAAAACAAAATCATAAGTTGGGCATATCCACTGAAATTGGTTGGCAATCGTATGCGACAAACTTGTAGTTTTGAAAATTTATCTTAGGAAGCAGGGACGGACGCAGAAATTTTTAATTAGAGAATTCCATCAAACTTTATACAAATCGAATATTTTGTTCTTGATTTTTGAATAATTTATACTCGACTCGAGAAAATGCAAATTTACATTTAAAAAGTATTTCTTCATTAATATTTTGCTCATCATTTTTATCCATTTGATTTTGAACCGTGGTTTTATTAATATTTCGCTCATCACAAAAAAATCCATATTTATGTTTAAAAAACTTATAGTGTATTTTATACCGACAGTCAATTCAAGTGATCGAAAATAAAAACATATAACCAATATTCAATAAAATAAATACAATTCATTAAATATAAGTTAAATTAAATATAACCAGTTCAGACACATTCTATGTATACAAATAGGATAGGAGAAAATGAAAATTTATGTTCTAATTAATTGAAAATTTGATTGGAAAGTAAAATATTTTTAGTAGATATGATAATTTTTAGCAAAATTATAGACAAATTTTAAAAAGTTAGAAGGATTAAAGTTTTGATAAAAGATGTGAAGGAGAATGTAAAATAGAGTAAAAGAAAAAAGAAAAAAAAATTCAAATTTATTGTGATTTTACCTCTATTTGGTGGAGGTTAAAATCAGATTTTTAGTATATTTCGATAAATGTTAAAAATTTAAGGATTCCATGAAATATGTTATTAAAATTAATTGTTGACTTTAATTTATATTTCAATCGATATCACACAAGACTTGTCCACGAAAAATAAATAAAAAATCAAAAGTTAGGGGGCCATGTGACCCCCCAAGACCTCCTTAGGTCTGCCCATGTTAGGGAAAACCTAGGCAAATGACACTATTGCCAATATCTAGACATCATGTTCGTATTTGGCCTTTGTACGTGGTTAGTTCACGAGAATATGAAAATGTAACTTTATGCCAACATGAGTTTTGGGGAGCGAACGCCACCTTAATTGCTGTAAGATTAGGCATTCCTTAACAGCCTCATCTTCCCTTAATTTTATGGAAGGGCATTGCTACATGTACATTAAAGTTTACCTAATGCCACATGACATTATACTATTTGTCAGTTTAAAATATTGTCAACTTTTTCATCTAATTTTTTCCTTCCATATGATTTTCGATACCATTTTTTATATACAAATAGCAAAATCCTTTTATGGAATGACCATTACATGATTTTGTCTAACCCAAACTCGTTGTTAGCCATAAATCTAAAAAGGAAGTATTTTGTGTTGTCTACATTTTTACACGTCAATTGCAAATGAGGGTGTTCCTACATATGGCAAAGTAGTGTGCGGAGGCACCAGCTATGGCGGAAGTGGCAAACATATTTGAATCACGCCAAGCCATGGCGATTTATTACTTGGTGTGGTTGATTTAATGCGCTCGGATGGTAGTTGGAGGCAAGAGAGTTGAGTTTTTGTAGGTCCTGATTATCCAAGGGTTTTCCTAAGGTGGCCAATACATTGACGTTTATGTGGTGGGATGTGACTATAGGCTTGTAGCGTCATTGAAAAATTATGGCACACATTTTTGCTCCAGCCCTCTCAAGAATTGATGGAATCTCAATACTCTTTTCTCTAATAAACATCTCGATACGTGCCACATCTCAATTGAGACTTTAAACAAAAGATGTTGACAAGATAATGAACATTTTACACCAGTTTTATTCTACTTCCCATAATCAAAATCTATATGAGTAAGATCTCCATTAGCAAAGGGTGGGCAAAATAATTCTCACAGCACAAAAGACTTTATCTAGGTTAGAAATGAAGTTATTTGTACTTCGGAATGGTTGGACAGGACAGAAGTCTATAGTTTTCATCGACGCAATTTGCTTGCCTGACAAGGTTTTACAAGATGTATTATCGTGCTTGCTGGAATATCACGTCAAAACGTAATAGTGGTAGAGAATTTGTCAACATCAAGGTCAATTCACATATGAAAGGAGCAGTGCTTACAATATACATAATTGTATATAAAGTAGTGGAGTCACAATTACATTCTTCAATGTGATGTATTTTGATTCATTAGATATTATGACAACGAGTCCATTGTCGAATAGACTATTGTCTCTCAACAGTGCTTATAAATAACATTATTCAAATGGGAATGAATATCCATCGAAAAATCAGTTGAAACCTAATGCGAGCGTGTTATAAAAGAGGATAATGATTTTTATTATTAAATTTAATTATAGTGGTTGGTATTCATAGCTTACGTCTAAAACTAGGATTGCTCATATCTTTATAGGAGTCAGATAGCTGCGATGTAGCTATAGTTATGAGGATGTTTGGGAGTGATTTTGAGAATTGATTTTTTGACCGTTTAGGAAAAAAGTGGGGTTCACTTGTGAGAGAAGAAGTCAAATATGACGGTTGGAATAGTGAAATAACGGTCAAAAAATCAATTTTTTGGGTGAAAAAATCGGGCCCAAACAGCCCTTATAAATAATCCGAATAATGCTCCTTGAATAGGGGATTATGTCAAGGACACGATGATAGGATGGAGTGACAACATATGATTGGTTTCTTTTTTTTCTTTTTTTCTTTTTTCAAACTGTCTAATCATACGTTGACACGTGTTCCCTTGTTTTTGAATCTATCATGGAACCTATCACTATAACATGATTCTAAATAACTCATGGCATCCAACAAAAAATTAGAGTATTTTTTTATAGTGTCCTGGAATGCCCTAGCACGACACACATTTTTTAGACACAGTCAAATTTTGATTTGGACTTGTCAAACTTTATACTTGTGAGTTCAGTCATTTATTTAGCTTGCGAGTAAAATTTTTTGCCTTACTTTTTTATAGAGTGAAGGTATATTCATCCTTTTTTATAGTGGTATTTTGAAAATAGAGTTAATTTGACCCTTTTATATGTAGGACTCCGGTGATTGAAATTGCATGATGAAAATTGAGTCATCGCCATATGAGTGTTCACGAAATATTTTCTTTTGATTTAATTCACTGTAAGTGTACGGTTCGTTAACAAATAATAAAGTGGAATTTAGAGTTTCAAATATCGTCCCACAGAGATTGAGTAGCTTAATTTTATTTATCTTGACCTTAACCGAAACAAGAATGTCAAAAGTGATTTTTTTTTTTTTTTTAGGATGTATGGTTAAAATATTGAAAAAAAAAAATTCACCTTTATTTATATAATTATTTTATTTTCAATTTAAGAAAAAATGAAATCAAACAAGCCTTAAACCGCAAACCCAACCGGTCTACTTAATGCCACCTTCAATCTTATACCAAAATTTGTACAATTTTGCACCAAATTAAAATCATCTATAACCAGTACACTAAATCTTATATCAAATAAACAGTGTTTAATCATTTTCTTCTTCTTTTTATTCTAAATAATTCATTTATTTGAAATTTTATTTATTTATTTTACAAATACATAAATTACTAAATAAATAATCACGTTAAATTAACAAAAATATTAAATTAATAATATTTTAATAAATTATAATTATAATTATAAAATAATGAAAATTGTTGTATTAAAAAATATATAACACAAATGATCCAAATTCCTCCGTCAGTTACTTTGGGAAAAAAAAAAAAAAGAAGACAAATATGACTTTGCGCAAATTAAAGAGTTTTTGTACCAAATTTTGATGAAATTTGGCGTTTTGTTGCCACCATCGGACATGCCCAAGAGCCTCGATCGCTTCACACTCCACCCAGTTCGATCCGTTTACTTTTATTGAAGTTTCCTTTCTCCCAAGCCACCAAGGCACCAACAAATATAATTCCCCTACTGCCCCCTAGGACACATCCCAACTGGTAAAGATGAGGGCGTTTTAAGCTTGGCAGATCAGAGATCGTGAGTTTGATTTTCGGAAGGCTCTTGGAAGGCAGATATTCTCCTAGAAGGCAAAGTGCAAAGATGGGAAACGACTTGCTTGACACTTTGACAGATCAGTTGGGGGCTCTTGAGCACTGGTCAGTTTGGGGCATAACCTGTAGTTTAACCTGTCTGCAATTTGAGGGATCAAGGTGTAGACTCCAAGATTTAGTCACTGTGGATACCTGGATATCAAAAAAAAATAATAATAAAAAAAAAATAAAAATAAAAATAAATATATATATATCTACCAAATTCATAATTTCCGCTGAAGAAGCTCCAGTTTTCGGTCGCTCGCTCGCTCTCTCTCTCTCTCTCTCTCTCTCTCTCTCTCTCTCTCTCTATATATATATATATTTCTGTTGAGATTAAGTCCAATGTTAATTGTGTGCACAATTATGTTTGAAATTTTTACGATTTGATTGAAATTAAAGTGAAGAACTGTAAATTCAGATCTTTGAATACAATGGAAGTGCCCTTGTCGCGATGGTGGGGAAGAATTGCTTCGCGATCGCCAGTGACCGCCGTTTGGGAGTGCAGCTGCAGACCGTCGCCACGGATTTTCAAAAGATTTATAATATCCACGACAAGCTCTTCATTGGTCTATCGGGCCTGGCTACCGACGCCCAGACACTGTAAATGCTATTTTCCCATTATAGTTCTACTTATTTATCTCTTTTGTATATGGTAGTGTCACGGTTGGGCTCCAACTTCAGCTCCTCCTTAACCGTAGCTCGCCGGAAGTTGATCTCAGCTGAAGTCAGCTGAGTGTTAACCACTTAAATGAAGAAAAAACAGAAATTGGGTTGGGAAAAAAGGACGTAAAATTGAGAAGAGATGAGAGATGAAATGAATTGAAGAATCAATCCACCATTAACTGAAATTGCATAACAGAATTCGACACCAAATCCAATGCACATGGATATAGATATACTACTAACAATTGAAAGTCGTCTTTCAGAATTAAAACGTAAAACTTTTTTGTTTTTCTGTAAAAAGCCAACACAAATAAAAGAGTAAAACGACACTGTTCCATTTAAACTAAAATGACACAGTTTTCATTTTAAAACTTGGTTAAAAGGGTTGCTTCCCTGCTTTCTCTTCCAGGCTGATTTCCTCCTTCTTCTTTGCTGATCTCTTTCCTCTCTTTTCCCAACTTCCTCCATAACAACCCATCCCCTCACCTTGATTTGTCCCCAAGATCCACAGGCAGGAAATTGGAATTTAATCCAATCTGCATCTTCCCACGTTGCACTATCTGGCGAAGAATCTGACCATTGTATGAGCCATTGAAGTACTGAGAGTTGCTTGCGGTTCACTGCTCTGGATTGCAATATAGCTATGGGATGGCAATCTGATTTCAATTGTCCACTTTCTTTAGGTAGTTGTAGCACTGGCATACTGTTATTTCCCAGCTTCTTCTTAAGGAGTGATGAAAAATGGGATGAATTTTTGAACTCTCTGGTAAAGCCAACTGGTAGGCTACAGCTCCTAACTTCTTTACTACCTGATAGGGCCCAAAGAATTTAGCATTTAATTTATGGTCAACTCTGCGTTCCACTGACCTCTGTGCATAAGGATGTAGTTTTAGAAAAACCCAATCACCCACTTCAAATGATCTCTCAGTCCGATTTTTATCAGCATAGTGCTTCATACTTTCCATGGCTTGTGCTAGATTATCTTTCAATTGTTGATCCAATTTGTACCTCTCCTGTAGTATCTCTTCCACAACATCTACATTAGATTGCTGGTACGGCCCTAATGCCAACTGGGGTGGTTTCAACCCATAAAGTGCCTCAAAGGGGGTCATTTTTATGGCAGAGTGATAGGTAGTGTTGTACCACCATTCAGCTAAAGTTAACCACCTCTCCCACTGCTTGGGGTGTTTATAGGACATGCACCTTAAATACATTTCCAGACATTGATTGAGCTTCTCCGTTTGGCCATCTGTTTGAGGGTGATATGCAGAGCTAAGTTGGAGTTTGGTGCCTGGTAAATGGAATAATTCCCTCCAAAACTTGCTGGTGAAGATCTTATCTCTGTCTGATACAATACTTTGGGGCATTCCATGTAGTTTATACACATTATCAAAGAAAGTTTTGGCTACTAACAAGGCTGTAAATGGGTGGTGAAGGCCAAGGAAGTGTCCATACTTGGTAATCCTATTCACAACCACCAGGATGGTGTTTTTTCCTTCTGACATAGGTAAGCCTTCTATGAAATCCATGCTAATATGGCTCCATGCATGAAGGGATTCAGGTAAGGGCTGTAGTAGCCCACGGTATAGAACATGTAAAGAAGTAATGAAGAAACGTTTTTTTTATTTTTAATTGTGTATAATTCTTACACTCCACCTTCAATATATACAACAATACAAGGAATGGAAAAGGAAAGATAATATTCTACCACAAATTATTTCCTAAATTAGTCCTAAATATTCCATGCTACAAATATTACAATCTCCATAATTAAAGTATGATTGATACATGATTTCCACACTCCCCCTCAAGTTGGATCGTGGATATCGATCATATCCAACTTGCAGATGCAATCATCGAATATTTGTCTCTGTAGTCCTTTGGTGAAGACGTCTGCGGTCTATTTTCTGGTAAGGATGTAGATTATGCAAATGGTTCCACAATCAATTTTTTCTTTGATGAAATGTCTGTCCACCTCTATATGTTCGGTTCTAACATGTTGAACAGGGTTGAGTGAGATGTTGATAGCTGTTTTATTATCACAATAGAGTTTAATCGAAAATTTTGATAGAATCTGTAGTTCATCTAAAAGTTTCTTCAGTCCTAAACCTTCACATATTCCTTGAGCAGCTGCTCTAAACTCTGCTTCTGCACTACTTCTGGCTACTACATTTTGTTTCTTACTTCTCCATGTTACTAAGTTTTCCCATACAAAAGTACAATAGCCTGTGGTTGATCTCCTGTCTTCAGTTGCTCCAGCCCAATCCGCATCGGTGAATATTTCTACATCTATTTTCTCATTTTTCTTGAACAATAGTCCTTTTCCAGGTGAGCCCTTAAGGTACCTCTGAATTCTTTATACTGCTTCTAGATGTGTTTCCCTTAGAGCATGCATGTGTTGACTTACCACGCTTACTGCAAATGCAATATCTGGTCTTGTATGAGATAGGTAAATTAATTTTCTCACTAGTTTTTGATAGCTTTCCTTTTCAACAAATTCTCCAGTATTATTTGTTTTCCTTGCCATGTCTATAGGAGTATCACATGGTTTACACCTGAGCATACCAGTTTCAGCAAGGAGGTCTAGAACATATTTTCGTTGTGATACACTGATTCCTTTCTTTGATCTGGCTACTTCCATTCCTAGAAAATATAACATTTGTCCCAAGTCTTTCACTTCAAATTCTGCATTTAATCCTCTTTTAAGCCTTTCTATCTCAACTGCATTATCTCCGATGAGAATTATGTCATCAACATAGACAATTGGGATAGTCTTTGTCCCATCTTCAAACAATCTAAAAAATATAGTGTGATTCGATTGCCCTTGTTGGTATCCCTATCCTTTGAAAAACATTTGCGAATCTGTCGAACCATGCCCTAGGTGATTGTTTTAGACCATATAATGATTTCTTCAGTTTGCACACTTTACTTCCTTCATTTTCCTTAGAAAATCCAAGTGGTAGTATCATATAGACTTCTTCTTCCAACTCTCCATTCAAAAATGCATTCTTAATATCCAGTTGTTGGAGTTGCCAATCCATATTTGCTGTCAGGGATAGGATAACTCTAACTGTATTCAATTTTGCAACTGGTGTGAATGTTTCTGTGTAGTCTATGCTGTAGGTTTGAGTATATTCTTTTGCAACCAGACGAGCCTTGTACCGTTCTATCGTTCCATCTGCTTTATATTTCACATTGAACACCCATTTACACCCAACAGGTTTCTTTCCTCTTTGAAGTTCCACCACATCCCAGGTTTTGTTTGCTTCCAAAGCTTTCATTTCATCCATCACTGCTTTTCTCCGCCTCTTGAATGTTTCTTGGAATTTTAGTGTTATCAAGGTTAGAAACAAATGATCTAAATTTTGAAGATAGCGTATTATAAGCAACAAATTTTGATATAGGGTGAAGAGTGCATGACCGAGTTTGTTTTCTGAGAGCAATCGGGGCTAACACATAATTTTTTTGTGATTGGGTCATAACATTTATACCCTTTTTGTGTAGGCGAATATCCAATGAATACACATTTAATTGCACAGGGATCGAGTTTGTTGCGATGATGAGAATGTATGCGGACAAAGACAGTACACCCAAATACTTTTAGAGGTAGATTGGAGGTTATGCGAGTGTTAGGAAAAAAATCCTGGAATTTTTGAAGAGGAGTTTCAAAATTCGGAGTACGGCTAGGCATTCTGTTAATGAGGTATGCAGATGTGAGAATAGCATTACCCCAAATTTTTTTTTACATATTTGTGGTGAACATTAGGGCTTGAGCTACCTCAAGTAAGCGTCTATTTTTTCGTTCCGCAACTCCATTTTGTTGGGGGTATCTACACAAGAACTCTGGTGAATAATTCCATTGTCTTGGAGATAGGTTTTTAGTGTACTATTGAAATATTCCGTCCCGTTGTCTGTATGCAAAATTTGGATTTTTGTTTGAAATTGGGTTTGAACCATCGAGTGGAAGTTTATGAAGACATAACGGTCATCGGTTTTTTCTTTTAGCTTATAAATCCAACAAAGTCTAGTATGATCGTCGATAAATGTGACAAACCATTTTGTGTGGGTGTGATTAGGGGGTTCGAGAGGGTCCCCATAGATCACTGTGTATCAAGGTGAATGGTCGAGATGGTTTATACACAGATTTTTTGAATGACGAACGATGATGTTTTGCAAGGTCACAAATGTCACATCTAAACTTGAAAAGTGTTTTATTCGAAAATAATGAAGGAAATACATGTCTCAGATAACGAAAATTGGGATGACCCATTCTATAATGCCATAAAAGAATTTCACTATTCTTAGGGACGAAAACAGAATCACAACTAGCAAGTCGACTTTGTTGACTCACATTAGTCTCATCAAAGTAGTAGAGCCTCTCACACTCTCTAGCACTGCCAGTCGTCTTCCCCGATAATAGGTCCTGAAAGACACAGTAAGAAGAAAAAAATTAGCGGAGCAATTTGAACTTTTTATTAATTAACTAATGGACAATAAATTGCATGATAGGTTTGGGACATGCAAAACATTTTCGAGTGTGATTAAATTAGATATTCGAATACTCCCTTTTCCAGCCACTAGGGATAGAGAGCCGTCAGCAATTTTGACTTTAATATTTCCAGCACAAGGTGCAAAGAGATGGTGTGAGTCCGTCATGTGATCGGATGCACCAGAGTCAATAATCCAAGGTATTTTTTAGAGTAAGGTAGTGTTAAGGCCTCTCAGGATGTTACCACCTCTATGAGCTAAAGAACTTGAGGAGCTGGATGATTTGAAGTTGGAGAACGTTTTGCGGAGTTGTTCTAGCTGTTCAGGACTGAATACATTGTTGGGTGCAGAATTTTGTACTTCAGATGAATTGATTGCAGCTTGATAGCCTTGATTCCTCGAGGTTTGTCTTGGTTTCCATCAGATGGCTTTCCATGCAAGTCCCAGCA